AGGGAAATTTGAAGGTACTGGTGTTTCCATGCATCTGCTGCCCTGGTGGTCCTTCTAGGTAATTTGGAAGGTGCTGTTGAAGGATCTTTGGTAGTTACTGCAGTGCATCTTATAAATGGCACATACTGCTACTGTGCTTTGGCAATGAAGGGAGTGCAAGTTGGAATTGCTGTATGGGGTGCCAAATAACCTAGCTGCTTTGTCCTGGTTGGTGTCAAGTGGCAAGTATTCCATCACACTCTTGGTTTGTGCCTTGTGTATGATGGATTGGGATTAGGAAGACAGGAGGTGAGTTATTCACCACAGAACTCCCCACCTTTCAGCTGCACTCAGAGTTACATTATTTATATGGTTGGTCCAGTTCAGTTTGTGTCAATAAATCTAAATCACCATTGACAGTGGGGGATTCAGTGATGGTAAAGCCATTGTGTTATGATCCCAGCTAATGCTACCACTGGAAAAGTCAGATCCCAGCATGAAGTATAGCTTGATAGATCAAATTTTTTTTTGTTGATTAAATGTTGTGCTCTTTCATTGAAACATAAACAGAAAAAGCTACAGATTTGGTTTAACAATAAAACAGAAGTTTTATTGAGAAATGCCATTTTATCTAAGTACAACACTTATCTAAAGGTTTCAAAATGCATGGCAAAATAAGTTCCCGTCTACTCCCAAACACTCATACTTTATAGTTATGCAAAAAAAAGATAAATTCTCCTTCCCTGCCCAATCCATATGTTTGACTTAATAATATTTTTCATATTTTCGGTTCCTGTTGTGTGAGCTGTGAAATCTTTTCCTTGAATGATCACACAACTGAGATCTTAAACTTTCTCAGTGTGGAATAGCCAGTCCAGTTTCCTAACCAAACACTCCTGGTCTGGAAATTTTCATAAATTGAGACATTGCGCTGAGGCAACTTATTCCCTAACTGCTCAGAACAAACTCATTTTTCTAGGACAAACTATTCTTGCATCAGACCTCCTCCTAACAGAGGGTTTGAACTAAACTGGAACAAACTTGACTGTCCTAGCTTCTGCAAAGCTGATGCCCTAATTATTTTCCTGTCGTAAAACCCCACGGTATAAAATTTTCAAGAGCCCTTCAGTCTTTAGCAAGTTGGTTAAAAATCATGGTTCCAAGTAGACTAATATAGTTGATTACTAAACTCCTTCACAAAAAGACAAATGCATAGATGCCAACTGTTGAAAATCCAAACTGTTTTAAGAAAATTTGTGTCAATAAATCTAAATCTCACACTCCATCACAATTGGGTGCTAAGGGGAGATGGTTAGATTGTGTCTTGTTGGAGATGGTCATTGCTTGTGTGATGCTAATGTTACTTGTTAGTTATCAGCCTAAATGTAAATATTGTACAGGTCTTGTTGCACTTGGACACAGACTGCTTTGGCATCTGAAAAGTCATAAATAATAATGAAAATAGTGCATTCATGAACAAACATCCCCACTTTAGACTTTATGAAGGAAGAACGGGCCTAATGAAGCACCTGGATTTGATTGGGTCTAGGTCACTACCCTGAGGAACTCCAATGGTAATGTCCTTGGTCTGAGATGATTGAACTTTAATAACCACAACCATCCTCTTTTGTGCTCAGTATGACTCCAGGAAGGGGACAGCTATTCCCTGATTCCCATTGACTCCAGTTTTGCTGGAGTTTTGTGCCTTAAACTAGTTTTGCGCCTTAAACTAGTTTTGCACAGGTTTCTTGATGCCACACTATCAAATGCTGCCCTGATGTCAAGGACACTCACTATCACCTTATCTCCAGAGTTTAACTCATGTTTGGACCAAAGCTGTAATGAGGTCAGGAGCAGAGTAGCCCTGAAGAACCCAATTTAAATATTGAGTTATTCCTTTACAAGTGCTGTTTGACAGTACTGTCGATAACCCCTCTACCACTTTGATGATGATCGAGAGTAGACAAATTGGGCAGTATTTGGCCAGGATGAATTGGTCTTGCATTTAATTGTGCACAGGGCATACTGGGGCAATTTTCTGCATCTTCCTGCTGAAGATGGCGGCAAATGCTTCAACCTTGTCTTCTTCACGTATGAGCTGAACTTTCCCATTGTTGAAGATGAGAAAAGTTGTGGAGCTTTCACCTCCAATGCATTATTTAATTGTCGACCATTATTCACAATTGTATGTGGCAGGACTGCAGAGTTTAGATCTGATCTCTTGGTTGTGGGATCACATAGCCCCATCTGTAGCACAATGCTTCCACTGTTTGCATTGCAAGTAGTCCTGCATTGTAGCTTCACCAGAATGGCACTTTATGTTTAGGTATGTCTAGTGCAGACCCTGACATGCCCTTCTCCACCCTACATTGAGTAGGATTGATCTTCAATGCGAGAGTTGGAGATATGTCGGGTAATTAGGTTACAGGTTACAGTTGAATCTAATTCTGCTGCTGCTGTTGGCCTGCAGCACCTCATGAGTGCCTGGTCTTGAGTTGCTAGATCTGTTCAAACCGTTCCACAATTGGCACAGTAGTAGTGCCATATAACATGATGGAGAGTATCTGCGATGTCAAGATAGGACTTTATTTCCACATTAAATGTTCAGTAGTCAGTCCTACTGTTACTGTCATGGAGAGAGGCATCTCTGACGGTTATAATAGTAAGGACATAGTCAAGTGGATTTTCCCTCACTATCGGCTGCAAATTCAGTCTATCAACAATGTCCTTTGGGACTTGGCCAGTGGTGGTGCTACCTTTGGAGATGGTCATTATAGACATCTATCCAATGTACATTCTGTCTCCTTGCCAACCTCAGTGCTTCTGAAGTGTTCCACATGGAGGAGTAGTGATTCATCCACTTTTAAGGATGAACAGGGCTGAGTTTTTCATTGTCATTTCCAATGCCAAGGTCAACATTGGGTCATTTTTTTTAGGCTTTGTAGTGGTTTGCTACAATTGAGTGGTTTCTGGGGCCATTTCGGAGGGCATTAGTGCATACTGATGTTCTCCCTTTTGTAACTACAGTTATATGATTGCTTTCAGAACAGCTTTTAGCTTCTGATTGTTTTTTATTGAGTTGAGTTTGGTTGAATAATTCGCCATGGTGGGATTTGAGCCCATGTCCCCAGGATCTAGATTTGTCATTCAGTGACATTACCATTGCATCAGTGATTCCACCTGAAGGGAAGGAAGAATGTACAGAGCTACAGGCCAAAATTGAGGCAGTGGCATTCAGTAAATACAGCGTCGAGCTGGAGGAACACAGCAGGTCAGGCAACATCAGAGGAGCAGGAAAGTCGACAATTCAGGTTTACACCCTTCATCAGGACTGGAGAGGGGTAAGGGAGCTGGGAAATAAATGAGGGTGTGGGGCTGGGGGAAGGTAGGTGGGATGGTGATAGGTGGATGCAGGTAGGGGGTAATGGAGATTGGTCAATGAGAAGGGTGGGGCAGACAGGTGAGAAAGAAGATGGACAGGTTGTGTCAGGTCAAGGAGACGTGGATGAGAGGGAGGGTTGGACATAGATGAGGCCGGAGCTGGGGAGATTTGTAAACTGGTGAATTCTATGTTGAAGCCATTGGGCTGTAGGCTGTCGAGGCGGAATATAAGGTGCTGCTTCTCCAGTTTGTGGGTGGCGTCATTGTGACACTGGAGGAGGCCCAGAATGGACATGTCACCCAGTGAGTGGGACAGGGAGTTAAAATGGTTGACAACCAGAAGGTGTTGTTGATTATAGCATACAGAGCGCAGATGCTCCAGCATCTGCAGTTCTTGCTATCTCTGGCATTCAGTAAATTGCCTGGCACAAATACAACAGGCCAAATGTCCTCCCTCTGTGCTTAAGAAGTTCTATAATCCTGTGACAAGTCCACAAAAGTCCTGTAGACAGCAGTCCATGAGGTGAAGAGTAAGTGTTGTTCCTTGCTGGGTGAAAAATTGAGGCAATTACTTGCTGCTTCTTTCTCACAATGGATACCTCACTGTTGAAATTATATTGGGGTTTTATAAATGTGATAGGACCCCTATTCACATAAATATATGAGGCTTCCACTTGAATGATCAATACCACCAGTGGTGTTAAAAAGCTACTTTGTGGGAATTACATGTTAAGTATTCGGATTTCAATTTAAGTCTCATTCTGCCTGATTTCTGTTGGACAGGATGAGTTATAATTCCTCCTTCTATATCTTTGTATTGTCACTTCATCTTTCTGATTTGTTTTTTAATATGAGGTGGGTCAGTGCATACCTTCCACTGGGATCAGTGGCATTGAACATCTGCTAAGGTTGAGCAATGATTTAATTTATGGTATTCATACCCCTTTGCATTTTTAGTACTGAGTGGGCAATACAAGTTTTGTAGAATTTAATTGGTATAATTTCATAACTTGCTTTCCATAAAAATCAGGTGCCATGGTACAATGACGAGTCTGAAGAAATCATGGATGCAATGTTCTCATAGTGGAACAGACTAAGGTGGTGATAGAATATAATTTATTGTTTCTTCTTCGATTCAGCCATCTCCTTCAAAATCCCTGAGTGCAAATACTGCCTGAGTAAAATGCATTTACAGCATTTTTATGTGAAACTGTCTTTGTGGTTTTAAATGTGGCACTAAACTGGATTTATGGCACTACACACTGTAACAATGTGCACGGCATTAATCTGCTTTTGTCACACTGAGTGCACAACTGAACTGAATTTGTGGCACTCTTTTTGGTACTAATGCAGTTTTCCTCTGCTGCAAATTACACAAAATTAGCTCCCTGGAGTGAGAAAGCAACACAGATCTAAACAGACAGAGGCCAGCTGCAGCAGAGCTGCTAACAGAGATAAAGATTAATTAAGAAAGCAGCGGTATGCAAATATGCAAATTGGTACTTCTCCACTACCTCTCCAATCAAATTATAATTGTTTAATTGCATATAAAATGACACATTCTTCCTATCTGATGTTAAAAGCAGATGTTGAAGTTAAGGTTTTTGATATCTAACAATAATTATATTCTCTCTCTTTAGTCCTCAGACAGCACCCTGAGATCCAGAAATCACGACCACCCACTTTCTACAGAATCTTTGCTGAAAAAGGACAATGCATCGCTGCCCACACACCTTGCTTCCTCGCACCCAGCTTTCTTTCTATCTGGTCACTCCATCCAAGGATCACCATATTCAACAATTAAGTAAGTCCTAATTATTCTGAGCATGAAAACAGTGGCATTTTCTTTAATAGCCACTGTACCAGGAAGTTGAAATTTCTCCCTATACTGTTTTAAACGAAGTTCTCAAGATAGCACATCCAGAAATCTTAGACTACACATTAACCTGTTAATTAGTGTACAGTGAAATTTTGAAGGAGATGAGGGAAGAAGGAGAGGAGGGCAGCATGCTGGCTCAGTGGTTAGCACTGCTGCCTCACGGAACCAGGGACCTGCATTTGACACCACTCTCGGGTGACTGTCTGTGTGGAGTTTGCATATGCTTGCTGTGTCTGTGTGGGTTACCCTGGGTGCTCTGGTTTCCTCCTACAGTCCAAAGATGTGCAGGTGAGGTGGATTGGCCATGCTATATTGCCCATAGTGTTCAGGAATATGCAGGCTAGGTGGGTTAGCCATGGGAAATGCATGGTTACAGGGATAGTGTGAGTCTGGGTGATATGCTGTTCGGAAGGTCAGTGTGGACTCAATAGGCCAAATGGCCCATGCCCACACTGTGGGGATTCTGTGATGAGTCGGGATGTCACTACCTCACGCCTTAAAGGGCCTACATGTTATTAAACGTAATCAATCAATTCTTTCACCCCAACTAAGTTTCCCTGCAATATGATTGAATTTTATGTTGCATGAAACACTGTCTGTGGTTTTGTTGCTATATTAAAAATTTACACCATTCTAAATACGGTAATTATCCCTGATATATTAGATTGAATGGTTGTGTACTGTAATGAGTGACTTATGCATACCTATAGTTGGGAATAAAAGCATTTACATTTTACATGTCATCCCCTGCTTTCTACCCATCTTATCTTGTATTATTCCAATCATCATTGCTTACTTACTGATAGTCAATATGCCTCAGCTTTTACATGATTATATAGGATGTAGAACACAGAAACTAGCCAGTTATCCCAAACAATCCATGTTAGCATTTATGATACACCTAAGGCACTTCCTATATTTTGCTAACTGATTCTATTCCTAGTAACCTCCTATTCCCTTCTCCCTCATACAATTATTAGCTTCCCATTAAATGCTATTTGCTTTGACCAGTACATTTGATAATGAGTCTCACAGTCATATCACTTCATTTTGCCTTTCCTTTGTTTCCATTCTTGGGTCAGAGGGCATAAATTGAGAGAAAAGAACATCAGAATCTTGTAATTCAGTGATTTGGCAAGCAGCTAAGTCCAATCTGAGCCCAGTTCATATTAAATAGAATACACTGAATCTCCTCGTCTCAACAAACAAAATCCACAATGCAAGACAGAATTATTTCTGAAGAAGGGTCTAGGCCCGAAACGTCAGCCTTCCTGCTCCTATGATGCTGCTTGGCCTGTTGTGTTCATCCAGCTCTGCACCTTGTTGTCTCAGATTCTCCAGCATCTGCAGTTCCTACTCTCTCTTGATAATTCATCCTGCTTTCTCACTTTGATCTTTAGCCTTACAATGTGTTTTATAACCAAGATGCATGACATGACTCAGTGAGTTTCAGTTAGAATTACTCTGTGCACTAGTACTGGGAGCAGCAACTTTATGCACAGGCAGTAACTGAGTGTTGCTGAGTCCTGCCCATATTCTGTAAGTCCTATCTGGAAATGTTTATTATCTGTGCCCGTACTTACCCGCTGTTTGTTATACATCTGTTGAGCAGTGGTTAACAAAGTACAAAAATTTACTCGTGTTTGTGTTCAAGTGTGCATGAGGTGTCAAAATATGCACTAAAAGTGATTTGAAGGCATAGCAAAGAAATAACTGAATGCTAAGTCCAAAGAGTCAAATTTTATTCAAAGTGTAAATTCAAAAGCCCATGATGGATCAGTGAGAAAGAAGCCTCAATCGTTTCTTTTGAGCTTCTGTTGTCAGACAGCTGGTCATTGAATTCCAAAGGGATAGCTGCAACACAACTACTGACAGGGCTGGAAGTAGTGCAAGAAAGATTTTAAACACAAGCAAATTGACTTATAAACAGAAACCCAGGAGCTGTACAGTCTCTATAGCAATACTCCTTGTACAAGAACAACACTGTCGATATAGAAATTGTCTAAATATTCCCCTAACATTGTCATCTTTGTAATCTGCTCATCAAATAAGCCAAAACATATGGCAATTGTGGTTCTCTGCCAAAGAAAGACAAAGTCCAGTGTTTAATTGGACTGCTTTGAGAATTCGTTGCCAATAACTAATGCGTTTGGTTTTCTTGTTGATTTGTCATAGCATTGTGCAATGGCTGGACACAAAAAATAATCAGGGCATTGCAAATATCTCCGTGGCCTCTGCTGCAGCTGACTGTATAATGACTTGAAATCTAAGGGGCTCCCCAGTCCCTACCAAACTTGTCTTTTGCCTAGGCACCTTCCCACTCCCCCCAGCATCCCAGTTAAGATCTGAAATTTAACAGGTTATATGTGATGATCATTTTCACAAGTGAAAAAAAGATTAATAATCAAGTTATGTTCAAGAGATTTGAAAAGTTGATGATTTACCATATGTATGTTGCTAACTGCTCAGTGTGTACCACTAATGAACTGGCCAGTCAGTGTGTTTTAACTACTGACCGGTTAGTGTATTCCTCAGCTGCAACACTACCCACTTTTAAGACACTTTGGGGATAAATTTTTATCTTCGATATTACCAGCTCACAGTCTAGTCTGTCAAAAGTGCACATGGAAAATTAAGGTATGCTCCCCTTGACATTCTAACCATTTAATTTGGAACCACATGTCAGTCAAAGTAGGAACACTGCACCAAAGAAGTCTTTTAACTGTTATTTATTCTTTTAATAATGATAGCATTAAAATATCAAGGTGTAGTTACCACTCTGTGAACATTATGAACAGCTTTGTGGTTTCCTGAGGCTGAATTTCAAACTTATGGCTCTTATTTTAAAATGTCGCCTATTCTTTTATTTATCTACTAATTGTCCATTGTTATTCTTATGTATCTGGATAGTTTTCTGACTTTGCACTGCTGGTGGGAAATCCCACACACCAGGAACAAATATCGAAATTGCAGGACCCACTGCTGCTGATTTTCAAACCATTAATAATAGTATGAATGGTCAAGAAATCATGGCCAGAATTCAGAGATAGTAAGGGTTCCGACCCGAAAGGTCAACTTTACTGCTCCTCTGATGCTGCCTGGCCTGTTGTGCTCTTCCAGCTCCACACTGTGTTATCTATGGCCAGAATTCATAGTGTACGTTCCCAGCTGGAATTCCTTGCCACGAGCTTGGTTATGTAAATTTGACTTCCTGTATGCCATATTGCGGAACAAAAAGGCACAAAATCCTGGACTGAGTTTGAAAACAGATTTAAGAACAACTTCTTCCCCACTGTCATCAGACTTATGAACAGATCTCTCATATATTTGAGTTGATCTTTCTCTGCACCTTCTCTGCAGCTGCAACACTTATCTGCCTTTCGCAGGGACCGTTCCCTCCGGGACACCCTGGTCCACACTACCTTCACCCCCAACACCTTCCCACAGCCCTACGGCACCTTTCCCTGTAACCGGCAAAGATGCAACACCTGCCCATTTACCTCCTCCCTCCCCAGTATCCAAAGGCCCAAACATACCTTCCAGGTGAAGCAACACTTCACCTGCACTTCCCAGAATCTAGTTTACTGCATTCTCTGCTCACAATGTGGTCTCCTCTACATTGGGGGAACAAAGCGTAGACTTGGCGACCACTTCGCAGAACATCTACATTCTGCTCGCAAAAAAGACCCTGAACTGCCTGTCGCCTGCCACTTTAACGCACCACCCTGCTCGCTGGCCAACATCTCTGTCTCTGGCTTGCTGCACTGTTCCAGCGAAGCCCAACGCAAACTGGAGGAACAACACCTCATTTTCCGTTTGGGGACCCTACAGCCCTCCGGACTCAATATTGAGTTCAATAATTTTAGTGCCTAAACTCTCCCATGTCCGAGCCCCCAACCCCACACACCAGGCCTTGTTACCACATAGCCTGCCATTACACACCCCATGTTGTTAGTCAGTAACAGTCTCCATTGACAACTATTCACCCTCCCAACCTGATCGTTAGCAACTCCTTTGTCTGTCCAACTGTCTTTCTCTCTTTTTGGGCTCTATCCCATTGTTTACTCCCTACCCCACCCAGCTCCCTATTTTCTGCATATAAACTGAAGTTTTCCCAGCCACCATCAGCTTTGAGGAAGGGTCACCGGATCCAAAACGTTAACTGTTTTTTCCTTCACAGATGTTGCCAGACCTGCTCTGGCTTTTCCAGCAACTTTGTTTTTGTACTATATTCTGCATTCTGTTCTCCTCCTGGATGTACTTATGTAAGATATTTGTCTGGTTAGCATGCAAAACAGTACTTTTCACTATACCTCAGTACATTTGACAATAATAAATCAAAACAAAATGAGATTCTGAAAATCCAAATATATCACATCTGCTGTTTCTGCCCTATCTCCCTTGCTAGTTACACCCTTAAAAATTCTAATACATTTGTCAAACACATTTCCCTTTCAAAACATCATGGTGTTACTATTGAGTTAAACTGTAATTTTTCAAGTGTCCAGGAGTCCTAATCAAAGGTTCTAGCATTTTCTCTACTACTGATTCAAAATGACTGGCCTATGATCTCTATTTTTCCTCTCTCTATTCTCAAATATTACAGTTATATTGGCTACCTTCCAAGGCCAAGGGGTCATTCTAGAATCTGGGAAATTCTGGAAGATCAAATAAATCCAATTTTGCAGCTACCTTCATTAAAATCATAGGCAGCAGGCCAACAATTCCACAGTTTCTTTTTAGCATTTAATTCCATTCATTTCTCCAGTGCTGCTTCTTTGCAGATATTAATACTTTAAGCTTCTCAGTCTCATTAGACCTTTGGTTCCGTGTGTCATTTTCTCTGTTCTTAGTGCCTTCTACTGTAAAGATAGACAGGCACTATTTGTTTCATATCTCTGACATTTCCTTATTTTCCATTAGAATTACATGAGTGTCAGTCTGTAAGGGACTACTTTTATTTTTGTTCATATTTTCCCCTTTGTATTCATGGATGAGGTGTAACTTTTTTTTATATTTCTTGGTCATTTACTCTCATATTATCTTTCTCTGTGTTTACCAATTTATTGGTCATCCCTTGCTGATTTTTAAACCCTTGCTGATTTTTAAACCCCTCCCAATCCTCAGGATTATTCATTATTTTGTTATCATTGACAAAGCAGGCTCAAGGGGCTGAATGGCCTACCCTGTTCCTAATTTGTATGTTCATAAGCTTCTTCTTTCAATCTAATATTATGCTTAACTTCTCTTATTAACCAAGACAGTATCACTGTTCCAATGGCGATTTCAACCCTCAAGGGGATCTATATTCAACTAGAATTATGAAATATTTCCTTAAATGTTTATTGAATATTGTATATCCCAATCTATTTCCACAAACTGATGCCTCCATAATTGACTTTGTTTAAATTGAAGAGCCGATGTGAGCATCAGTTAGCTCGGTTGGCTGGATGACTGGTTTGTGATCAAGAATGACACCAACAATGTGAGTTCAATTTCTATTCTGGCTGAGGCCACTGTGAAAGCTTCACCATCTCAATTCATCCGAAGCAGGGTGACCTTTAGGTTCAACTCACCATTAGTCACCTCTCTCTAATCAGAGTGAGTTTACAGTTAAGACCATCGTATCAGATGTGACCATATCACTGTCAAACTTGGAATGAAATTCTGTCATGTAATGAGGACTCATCCTCAGACAGTCTATAAGATACTATAAGATGACTACCTAATCTTGTCTAACTGGAACGGATGTTACCCTTAGCGGTAGCTAAGTAAACCAATCCATAAAAATTGTTGTTATCAGGTATGTGTGTTACCAACAGGGAAGAGACATTGACGGTTCAAGAAGAGAAAACTTCAAACCTTATTACCCTTTGGGAAATGTAGATTTGAATAGTTTGCCTGTCTTGTTTTTATAAGTATATCTGAATCCTCAGCTTCAAAGAAATATTTTTTTGCTAACAGCCTATCAATTTTGTAGTTTACAGAGACCAGTTCCACACTTGGTGTCTTCCAGCAGCAGATCAGATGATTTCCTTGCAAGCTTCCGTCCATATCATGGACGAGATGAAATTCAGACTTTGTCACCTCTGCCTTCACTTGGATTGGATTCTGCAACAGCTGCTGCATCTGCAGCTTACTACCATCCTGCCTTCCTATCGCATCTTCCTTATCAGCATCCACCCTATAGGTTAGTATCTTGGTAGTTGACAATAAAACTATTGGTCTGGCAAACAAAGCACACTGAATTACATAGTTCAAATGAACCTCCAATGATTTCATGAATAAGATGGTCTTTTCCTATATGTATTTATTGCATACCTTTTATCATTTGAATCATGCAATCCAGAAAGTACCACAATAGCATGCAATACTTTCTTGGAATTAGGTTGGATTCATGAATATACTTTGATTCAAATCATGTATTTTTGTTAGGACTGGTATCCGTAAGGATCTCTTCAAAATAGCTTGCCAGTAATAAGAGATAGTAAGAACTGCCGATGCTGGAGTCAGAGATAACACAGTGTGGAGCTGGAGGAGGACAGCAGGCCTGGCAGCATCAGAGGAGCAGGAAAGTTGACGTTTCAGGTTGGGACCCTTCTTCAGAAATGGGTCTGAAGAAAGGTCCCGACCCGAAACGTCAACTTTCCTGCTCCTCTGATGCTGCCAGGCCTGCTGT